TATGCTTATTTGTATTTGGCATTGGCTTTGCATTACCTTGTATTTGATACTGACTTTGCATCTTCTTGCATTTAACATTGGCTTACATTTTTCAAATTTGACATTGGCTTGGTTCTTGGTACCTACTATTTTTATTTTTTATATTTAATGTTAGTTGCTTTATTTTAATGCTATATCTCTATATTTAGTACCCCCTTAATGCTGTCTCTCTATATTTGGTATCATTATCTTTATATTGGGTATCACTATCTTTTCACATTGAATGTTACTATTTTTTCATATTGAATGTTACTATCTTTTCATATTGGATACTACTTATTTTCTTTGATCTATCTAAACATCATCTCTATTCTTAGTGTTATATATTTTGACCTCAACACTATTAGTTTACATTAAATTCATATTTTCTTTAATTTCAACTACATCTTATATTGATGCCATCTGTTCTTTGATCTCAATTACACTTCTTATTAGTGCCACCTGTTCTTTAATCTCATTGTAGCACTTTATTTGGTGCTACTATATTTTTTTTTTACATATTTTATTTTGAACTGACCTTGCGAGTTCATTACCTATAAATAAAATACACATTTATTAGCAAAAACACTCTTGATCAAATTGTAGAAGAGTATATAACTAATCTTTCAAGAGCAAAACAAGAAAAGGCCTTAATTAATAATGAACTTTTAAATAAAATTAAAATAATTTTATTAAATCCTAAAGATATCTTATTGTATGATAAAAACCTATACAGTTGGGCTAAAAAAAGTTTGAGTTAGAGGAAATTATGCCTAGAGATTACAGAGTAATCATAAAGGCTTTAAAAAACCCTATGCTCATAACTGAAAGGTTTTATAAAGTTTTCTGTTATATTCATAGTGAAGTAACTCAATATAGTAGTCAGAAGCAATTATAAATATTAATCCTTGAAAAATAGGAATACATAAAACAAGAAATTATAGAAAAGTTTATAAACAATTGTACAGCCTGTGCTATGAGAAAACTGTCATTCCACCCTTTGGCAGTAAAATCTATAAGTACTAAGAATTTTTTGTTGTGACTGTAAATATGTTTTATTTTGTTTTTGATATTAAATTAAAATTTTTAAAATTTTCTAATTAGATGTTTATTCTGTAGATAGATCTAATTAATCTATTTTACATTCCAGATGGCAAGTTTAAGTATGTGTGTTATATAAAAAACCACTTTAGTAGGTTCTTATAGGTGAGAATGTTCATATCAAAGAGACTAATTAAAGTCACAACATATCTCTTTGACCTTTTTCATCTAATTGGATAATTATCTACTATTCTGCAATCAGTAGAGATGTACATATTGTGATATAAACTTAGCATGCATGTCACTCACATGATTATATCATGCAATCTTGTATGAGACACATGATAAAAATTCATTTTAGATACTAAAATTTTATAGTAATAGCATGAATTTTTTTGTCTTGAAGTTTTTACAAAATATTAACTTTGAATAAATATATATTAACTGTCTCTAATTTTTAGACAAGTATTCTTGTCAAAGTTTTTTTTGATTTTAAATACTACAATGTTATGAGTGCAAAATAAATTTAAATATTAACCTAACATATGCATATTAGCTTAGACAATAAATTTAATACAAAAAAAAATTACATAAATTTTCAAAAATTTCATATTACAGCATACAGTATTTTTAAATTACAAGAAAAATGCAAGATCAACATTCACATCGATTCCGCCCAATTTCTTTTAATACTAATGCAAGTTTACCTTCAAAGTTAAGTACAAGAAAAATTTTTAACAATAATATTATTATTAGAATTGTATAGTAAGTTTATAATGTATATTTTTAATATTTATTAAAAAAAATTATTTACATTATTCATTATTTTTGTCATTTTTTCATTTAGGTTGATTAATTTTTCATCACTCTTATTTAATAATATTGTCTTTTCATCAGGTTCTTGATTATATTCAGTGAATTCTTAATTTTTCAAAATCATGTAATTCTTATTTTTATTATTATCAACAGTTTCTTGTGCACTTGCTAGTAATTCCGAAATATTATTATGATTTGAATGTTCTACAATTAAATACCAATAGTTAGTATAAATGTAAATCAGTTTTAAAATGTGCTTAGAAGTAAGTTGATTTCTTTTTTTGTTATAAATATATGCAAATGCAGACCAATTTTGCTCAGAGGCAGTGGAAGATATAGGAATAGTTAAAACCCAGATTGCTACTTGATATAAATCATTTGCAACAGAACTAAAATTTTCTTTTCACCAAGTTGGTGTAATTTCTGATAATAATTGTGGATTCCAGATTAATAAACTATTAAAAATTCCATCTTGTGCCTTATATCAAACTAATTGGTTTCAAATATTTGTTGAATTAAGAAGGTAATATTTTGAAATAAAGTTAAATATAGTTGTAATACTTAAAGGTAGCAAATATCTTCTAACAAATTGTAGATCAAGAAAATATGTGACTTTTATTACTGGGTAATAAAGCTTTTTTTAACATTTTTTCAATATTGTATTAAGTTTAACACTTGCATATAAAGTATGAATTTCTAAATATAATTATAATAGTGTTAGTGTTATAATATAAAAAACCCCTTATAACAAATAAGATATATTAATATATATACATTTCAAATTTAATAAATTGTAAAACCATTTCCAAAATTGAGATAGTCTCGAATTATTGTTTTCAAATATAACAATACTATAATCAAGGTATTTTAAAATTTCTGTTAAATAAAAGCTTTATGCCAATAATTTTTATTATTAATAATCGAGAAAGTCTCTTTATTAGCTTTAAAAATATTTTTGTTGTATAAGTTCTATTAAGCTTAAAATTATATAGCAAGTTTATTTAATAATACCGAATTTAAACAAATAGCAGCTAATTCTTAACATGTTTTAACTGGTAATTTTAAGATAACTTTTTTATTTCCATATTGTGCTATTTGATATCATTTCAATACAGCATTTGGAATATTATGTTTACAAAAAAAATTAACAATTTTTTTAGTATTTAACATTATATTCTTAGCCTAGTCAAGTTTTACAATATTGCCTACAAGTAAATTTAACTCATGTGCTAAACAGCCTATAAAAATTGCCAAAGAATATTCATTTTCAATTATTTTTCAAGCTTTTTTCATTACTGCTGCATTGTCAGTAACTACTGCAGATATTTTTTTATTATCAATACTTTTTTATATATCTAATATGTTTAATACAACATTTTGAGAATTTTGTTGAATTTCTCTAGTAGGTTTTGCTGAAATAAAAAGAGGTCTAGGCATTGCAAGAAGAAAATTTACCCAATGATCCTGGGCAATATTCATTCATCCATCACAGACAAGTGTTAAATATTCTGCATTATTAACATGTTGATTAACTTCAGTTTTAATATTTGTATATATTTGATTTAATAAAAAATTTGTAAGCCATCTTTATAATAGTAGTTCAAAAGAAGAGAATATATATTTAAAAAGAATTTTGATTGGTTTTATTTTTGAAAAAGACAATGGTAACCCATAGTAAAAAACTGCTTGAGCAAATAGTAACTCTATTTCTTCATGTATAGGTAGTTAAATTGTTGAAAAATTATCAAAAAGGTTCTCAACAATATGCTGTTTTGAGTTATTTTACTGAAAATTAGTTCCAAAGTATTGTGTTAATATTTTATCTAACATCTTTAAACAATTTTTTACAAGTGTGTTTCACATCAGTCTGCATCTTTACCAATTTTATGCCTACAGTAATTACATTTAGCTCATTTTTTATTAAAGCTATCTACAATCTCTAATCATGTAAAATGATTCCAAATTGGTTTCTTGGATGCATTATAATATAAGCTAAAAATTGAATAATGAATCATTAAATTAAATAAAATCAATTTATATAAATTTTTTGCTTCTAAAATATAATGATTGCAATAGTTTAATTAATTAATTATTTTATTTAAAAAAATAACTATATATTGACATAATAAATTATTAATTATTAAAATTTTTAATTAATTTTATCTTATGCAATATATGATATCATTTCATGAAGATTATGTGATATTACGATACAAAAATTTTGTGATCTTGCATAAAATACATCTCTAGCAATTAGACAATGACAAAAAGTTCATTGCACAAGTTATCAAAAAATTAGTTGAACTCTGGCCCTCTGTAAAGATAATCAATAGGCACCATAGGCACCTTTAGTTACAAGGTCTTATCGAATGAGTAAATAGTATTTTGACCAAAAATTGGAAAAATAGAGAGAAACAACTAGTCGAAGTGACTGGTCATTTAGTTTAAGATTAGTTGTAGTTTTCATAAATAATTTATGATGTAGATTACATAAAAAAATACTCTATAAGCTAGTTTATGAAGACAAATCTTATAGTAATTGTACTCTTGTTGATGAATTATATGCCAATAATATCTTTAATGAAGAGGATATTTTAGATATAGTAGAAATCCTGAATAATAAAATTGACTTAGATAATGACATGGCTGGTAAGAAAATTAATAAAAATAATAAAGTATTTTGTTTAATTAAATTTATTTAATTTTTTTTTTTTAGAATTTTTATGATCCAGAAATATCACCCAATCATATTGGTTATTTAGTACTATTACATAATAATTGTTTAGTACAATTATCTAAAAGTCCAGTGTTTTTATCCAAAATTTTAGTATTTTTACCCAGTTTAGTGCTTTTGCTCAGTTTAGTGTCTTCATCTGGTTCAGTATCTTCACTCAGTTCAGTGTCTTTGCCTAGTTAAGTATCTTTACCTGGTCCAGTGTCTTTATCTAGTTCAGTATTTTTACCTAGTTTAGTGTTTTCGCATACTAATGATGTTTATTATCTAGTGTTTTAACCTAAAAAATTCAATTTTATTATCTGATAATTAAGATTGTAGTCAAGTGTTTTTACCTGATAATCAAGGTTGTGGGCAAGTTTTTTCACCTAGTAATCAAAGTTATGATCAAATGCCTTTATCTAATAATAATCAAGATTGTAGTCAAGTATCTTCACCTGGTAAGCAAATTGTTAGTTTTTTGCACAATAATGTTTTTTGTCAGTGTTTTTATTTAAAAATTTAATACTATTATCTGATAATTAAGGTTATAGGCAAGTTTTTTCTCTTAGTAATCAAAATTGCAATAAAGTGCCTTTATCTGGTAATAATTACCAAGTGCTTTTACTTGGTAATCAAAGTTGTAATCAAATGTCTTCACCTAGTAATAATCAAGTTTGTGATCAGGTATCTTTGCCTAGTAAGCAAATTTTTGGTCCTTTGTACAATAAGTTTTTGCTAGTGTCTTTATTTAAAACTTCAATACTATTATTTAAAATAATCAAGGTTGTAAGCAAGTTTTGTTACCTAGTAATCAAAGTTACAATCAATTGCCTTTACCTAGTAATAATCATAATTAAGTATCTTTGCTTAGTAAGCAAATTGTTAGTTCTTTGTGCAATAATGTTTTTTGTTAGTGTTTTTATCTAAAAATTCAATACTATTATCTAATAATCAAGATTGTAAGCAAGTTTTGTCATCTGAATATCAAGGTTGTGTGCAAGTTTTTTCATCTAATAATCAAAGTTGCAGTTAAGTGCTTTTGTCTAGTAATAATCAAATACTTTCATTCAGTAATCAAAGCTGTAATCAAATGCTTTTGCCTAGTAGTTGTAGTCAAGTATCTTTGTCTGATAAGCAAATAGTTGGTTTTTCATACAATAAAGTTTTTTGTCTCATCTTTATCTAAAAATTCAATGCAATCATCTAATAATCAAGATTGTGTTCAAGTGCTTTCATCTGGTAATTGAAGTTGTAAGCAAGTTTTTTTCCCTAGTAATCAAAGTTTGTTTTCACTTAGTAATAATTAAGATTGTAGTTAAATATTTTTATCTGTAAGCAAATTGTTGATTCTTCATGCAATAATTTTTTTGTTGTCTTTATCTAAAAATTTAATACTATTATTCAAAATAATCAAGGTTGTAGGCAAGTTTTTTTTGCCTAGTAATCCAAGTTGCTGTCAAGTGCCTTCACTTAGTAATAAAGGTTGTGATCAAGTGCTTTCATCCAGTAACCAAAGTTGTAATCAAGTGCTTTTACTTGATGTTCTTGTTGATAACTCTGTACTTTTATCTACTGATTATATTAGTTCCTTTGAATCTTTATTTAAGAATTGTGTTGGTTGTCAAAAGCCTTTGTCTAATAACTGTAGTATGTTTTGTGTTTTAGCTAATAATTGTTATTGATTAGAATATAATGCTAATTCATCAAATTCTAGCTCTTGTTGCTGTTATTAACAATTATTTAAATTCTAATTATCACAATATGCTATGAGAAGTTGCATGACATAACCTTTAGCAGTATACTGACAAGATAATATAACAAATGTTAAAGAAAAGAAAGCTTGTTAATATTTAAGTTGGTGATTTTGTAAGAGTAAAAGTTCTAAGGATCAATCAATTCGGTATTGATCACCCTACTGTTTTCTGTAAAGTTTTGAAAAAAACTAATGAAGATTAGTACTAACTTGAATGTAAATTTAGTAAAATTAGAATATGCTATACCTCAAGCAAACTTGAAATGCTTAGAACTATTACTTATCCTAAGCTTAATAAAATTCTATCAAATCAAGTATAAATTCATAAGACAGCAAGGTTGCAAAGCATAGGAACTATGTTAGGTTTTATCTGTAGTTGTAAGGGTTCATATAATAGCAAAAGGTGCAAGTGTAAAAAAATGAATGCAAAATATACAAGTTATTGTCATAGTAGGTAATTATGTTTAAATAAAGATTAATATACAGTATTATTGCATAAAAAATTGGTTTTTTTTCTTATATATATTAAATAAATTTAGAAAAACATTTATCTGATTAGCTAGATCTATCTATGATTTCTATAATAATTAGCTAATCATATTACATAATTTAATCAAACAAATTCATAATATAGACAAAACTTTATACTATATACTAGCAAAACTTATATTTTATTCTTTATTAATTATATTTAAAACTGAGTATCTTATGATTTTGACTGTGTCAGATTACAACTTACATGCATCAGATTAAAACTTACATATATCAGATGACTGATTGACAGGTAATATGCAGCATCTGAAAATCAGCATCTAACATGTATCAGATTAGATCTAATGCAAGGAAGCATCTAAGGCACAACAAATATGCCACTATTTCAATTAGCCTTAAAAAGTTAAGAAGAGCAGTTTTAATATTAGCCAAATGCTTTGTGATACACCCTAGATTTGCTCTATTTTCTGAACCTATTCATATATACAAATGCCTTTTATTCTTTTTATAACATTAACAATATACATAGTGAATTCTTTGTGAGTTAAGAGTACTTTCTGTATATGAGCTATTGTTAATAGCCAAGCAGAGAACCATTTCATGACAATGTATTTGCAGTGTCTAATTATATACAATTCATATATGTTTTATACAGCTTGTATTATAACTAAAAAAGATCTTTTTTTTGTTATAGAAAAAACAAATATAACAATTAATTCTACTTTTTTTAGTGGAGCAGTGTTTTTTAAATTTTTGTTATACATAATATTTTAATCATAATTAAAATGTTTTGTACATACTTCAAGAAGATAAAGTTGTTTGTTAACATTATTGATGGCATCTATATTAATTTTCCAGATATCTACTAATTCTTGTAATCTCTTAATACTAGTTTTATTAAAGTAGAGTATTTCTTCATATTCATTATATATTATAACACAGGGCATAGTTAGTTTTGTTATAATTATAAGAATCTTTTTAGTATATTTATTGCTAGTTTTTTTAAAGCTTATTTCTTACCAAATTTGTATATTTTTCATATTAAATTCTTTATATGAATTGTCTTTAAGTTTTGCTAAAACTAAGGTTTGCTTATATAAGTTTTGCTTAAAATTAAACACTTGATCATCATTATAGCTTTTATCATCTTGTAAAGTTATGGTCTCAATATTTACTAAATGTTTTTCTAATTTATCTTAGTTGTAGTTAAGAATTAAGGACTCTTAGGAAAATTGCAAAAAATTGATATTTATTATTTAATAATAAAGTGATAAAGGTATTTTGATTTCAGTTAATTTAATTTAAAAATATTAATTAACTAAATAGAGTTAAAATAAGAGCTTTTATTGTTGAAAAATTCTTTAGATTTATAAAAAAATTAATATTTTCAACAAGTATTTTGGCAAATTCAAATTCTTACTAAACAACTTTTTATTAAATTTGAATACAAAAAAAAACTTAGTCATACATCTTAGCATAATCATTTTTGATCACTCAAGATTATTTTATTAAATTTTTTTAAACACAATACATTTATTTAATCAATTACATAAATAATTATTAATATTAATCATATAAATAAATATTAATTATAATAATATATCAATAAATAAAATTATTTTTTAATCTTTAATTGTAACAAATTGAATATTTCATAGTTGCAAATCAAACAACAATATAAAAATATAAAATTATTTATATTATATTTTTTTAAGAATATGCTTTATTAACATTTAATTATGATAAATACAATTTTAAGATAAAATAAAACAGTAAATTATATTACAAGAATGCAATTAAAAAAAATAAAAGCATTTAGATTGCACTAAGGCAAAAATCAGACTTTAATTATATAAAATTTATATAATCAAGGTTAGAATTTTCTTTGATGCTATCCTATTTAAAATTTGTCTCATTACCAAAAAATTTTTATCAAATCTAAAATAATTAATAGTTTTTATTAGCACTAATACTTGAAATGCTATTGATATCTGACTCACTCAGGCTATTTTAGCTATGTAGATCATGAAGACCATGTTGAATAAATAGGAGTTAGGAATTATGTAGTAAAGTAGCAAATATAGAATGTTAAATGTAAATAAAGAATTATAAGATAAATAAAGGCTATAAAGGCCCAAAAAAATATGAATAAACTTTGTTTTATTAAAATAATATCTGGCCTTTTATATAATAATTAATATATAAATGTCTTCTTTACTATATTAAATAATTGCTAAATTCTTAGACTATAAAAACCTGATTCTTGCAATTATTTGTTCTGTTCTAATGTTCTGTAGTATTGTTATATTTCTGTTTAGCTGTTATATCCTAAAGTACTATAGTTATATCATTCTATTATTCTAAAGAACTGTGGATAGTAAGGTTAGACATGTTGTTCAATTACCTAAAATAGTAAGATAATTGAGAATAAAGTTAATAAAAGCTCAAGAAACAGAAAAACTTAAGACAAGTAAAGAAGAGATATTTATCTACAGATCCAAATCATTAACCAAATCTAAATAACTCTTTTTAACTAAGCCAACTATAAATTACATGAAAATTTGGATTATAGAGTAACTGACTCACTGTTTCACCTATTTTCACTATGCATGAATACTAGAATTAGTTAATTTTTCCTTTTAAATACTTAACTATGCCATTTTTGCATATTGTTATTTTGAGACCTTTTTATTATATATAAATAGTGCTAAGAATCTTTGAATAACAAAAAACAAATAAAAAGCCAAGATTGACCTATTTATAAATATTATAATTGGTTAAATTTTTTTTTTAATACTTATCTATACCATTATTAAATGCTTTTTATCTAAAGACCTTTTTATTATATATAAATAATGTCAAGAAGTCCTAAATACTAAAAAAATGACTAAAATTAATAAGCAACACTTTGAGCAGTCTATAAAACAAAAAAAAAATAATAATAAAAATAAAACTTATATGATAATTAATTTATACTTCAATACTATATTATGCTTGATTAAAGTTTAATCACCTACAGTACTAATGTTTATAGAATATTATAGCTAAAAATTAATAATATGTGATTACAGTAAGACTTTCCTAAGTGCATGCTCTACAAGTGCATGCTCCATATAAATTCACTTTAAATGCATTGCATAGCTTGGTTCTGATTCATAAAAGTACTACATTTTGCTCTTTATAAATATATACTTTTTTAAATGCATATTCTGCTTCTTTTTTATTATAGTTCTAAGGGAAGTATGCTTAAAAAGATTTTGCTGCATTTATAATAACTTATGCTTACAAAGAAAAAAAACTTATATATCAGTTAATTTCATACTTAAAACATTACTTTTAAGTCAGATTATTTGTTTTTAGCCACTTAAGAGATTGTGCAGCTATTTGTAAAATACCACAAAACTTTTACAAATGAAGTATAGCAGCATGTAATGTTTCAGTATGTAAATCTAAAAAAAAAAAGAATCTACAGTTAGCTGTTAGTAAATTTTTCTATTAGCATACTTGTTAATTTTGAGATTTATCACTATTTTTAAGCTCAAGATTATTTTAACTATCTTTTTAACTGAGGACAAAATTTATATAGTTGTTCATAAGAAGTTATGAAAATGTTTTGCCTAAAGAAGAACTATGTACAATGTTTCAATAGCTCTTAAATTCAAAAAAATTTAAAATTTTATGAATTTTTATTATATATTAGTTTAATTTTTTTTATATGTATGCAAATATAATAATGATCATCTCTGACATGTCTGCTGACTGCTAACAAAGAAAACCAGCAAAGAAAAGACAAAATAGATAAAAAGAAATATAAGAATAATATTCAGTTAGAAGCAATCATGATTAAAGAGCCAAAAAGCAATTTGCAAGATATTCTCAACAAAATTTTAAAAAGATTAAATGAAATAAAAAAAGACAATAAGGAAGTATACTTCCAAATTGTTTCTGAAAGTTGCTATAGGCATTTTTTAAAAAAAAACAACTACTTTGTCAAATATAAAG